TTGCCAAATCAAAATAAAGATGTGATCTGGCAGACTCCGCTGCTGCTAAGCCTTCCTTGGGTGGTTTCCCGTATCGAGGTGAGAATGTCGGGAAAAATTAGCAATGAAGTAAAGGACGGAGTGTTTCTCTCCTGTCAGGTCCATTTCCAAAAATCAATCAAACAAACAAACAAACAAACAGCAAAAAGCAGAATGTTTGGTTTACCTACCGCTTACGTCACAGAAATAGACAGTATAAAGAAAAAGGAGCAATTTCCTCGCGCTCCTTTAAGGTCATGGAAATCTTCGTATTGTCCAGAGTCATTCACAGTCGGAGGTGTTTTTTATAATCATCATGCCTCGCCTATTTTACTTGCGATTTCTATAATATCTATAACATTCTTTGGGTGGGGCTGTTGAGGGCTGTCTGAAGGCGTTGTCTCACAGAGACCCTGCAGATGTCAAAGAGTCTGGCTCGATTTCTAGCCTAGCTCAGTCCTACTGCAGGGCTTTCGAAGTAACAGGCTGCTTCTTTGACAACTTCAACGGGAAAAGAATCCATGCTTCAGCCTTCAGTCGTTTTGGGGTGCCTCCATAACCACAACCCATTCAAGACAGCATTTAATTCCCGATTGTACTTGTCAAGCTGGACAGGCTGAGGGATGTCTACGTAGCTGGTTCACCTTGATTTCTGAGCAAGTCTGGAGGCTGTCTCTTGAAAGATTCATGTCTGAATCAACACTGAGAAGGCCTACCACCCCCATGTGGGTGCGCATCATCCAATCACTTCAGGAGGCAGAAGGGTGAATTTCTCTCTTCTTGAGGTGAGACATCCAATTCCTCCTGCCCTCACACTTGGACATTTCTAGGTCTTGAGCCTTTGGACTTTGACAAGGACTTAAATCATAAGCTGCAAGCCTGTGCTTGCTTCATTCCAAGGTATCTGGACTTAGATGGAACTGCGGTATTGGATATCGGGTCTTCCAGCTTGCAGATGGTTGATCTTGGTACCGTACTTTCAGCTTTCACAGTTACCTGAGCCATTTATTTCTCATAACACCTCCCCTGCCATAGGTTGTTTTCCTTTGGAAAACCCTACTAACCCAACCCCTTAGTTACTGAGTATAACATCTCTCCTTCTAAGTAAAAACAAAGGGTTAAATTATTAAAGCATCATGATTTTCTGAAATACCACTTTTTTACCCCTAACCTGGCCTCCCATGGAACTGATAGCCAGTAAAACTATTCCAGACCAGATGGGCTGATCAAGGAAAGTCTTTGAGTCCCTTGTAATGCTTACATCAAAAAGCCTCCACTCTCTGCTCAGACGTTCGAGATGAAACACTGTGAGCACTGCAGTCATTCTGGGCTTTTTTGTTTTTGTTTTTGTTTTTTTTGGTACCAGGGATCGAACTCGGGTCCTTGCGCTTGCAAGGCAGGAGGTGGAACCACTGAGCTAAATCCCTGGCCCCGTTCTGGGCTTTTCCAAGTTAGAGATCTAAATTTTGTCCTCAGGACCTCAACTGTCTCATTCACTGAGGTCATGAGGAAGCCATGTCATGGAAGTGAGGGGAAGTGCCTGTGGGTTCACAAGAGTAAAGTCCATCTTAAAAGACAAGGAAGACAGCAGATGTGGGAAGCGAAGAGAAAGACTGCTCCTAAGTAAGTTCCGGAGGAAGTGCCACCTCAACTAGGTGTTTTCTTAGAGATGACACCATCACTTCTGGACACCAGGGTTGATGTGAAACAGCACCGGAAGACTGAATGCTAGCACAGACACTATGATCCCTGCCCATCGGCAGTTCTGCAGCAGTAGCACTAGCAGTTGTCAAGACAAACTGGCAAACAGTACTTCCTTGAAAGAAGAAACACCTCCCCTTCTTGGACAAACACAACTAGAGGTGGGACAACACAGACGGCCCCTCCTGGTGCCCACAGCTGTACCTCCTCAGCCCTAAGAGCCCCACAGTCCATGACGACTGCCAGCTGTCATTCCATGGCACTGACCCTCCCTCAAAAGGGGCCACAGCCCCCTCCACTCGGCTTCAGCAACTCATCCCCCGTTCAGCTCCGTGTGTCCAGCTAGTGCCCCCTTCTCATTCTGGATTCAGGTCTGAGACATGAGACTTCCCAGGTGCCTACTTGCATCATCAGTTTATCTTGTTCCTACCCCAGCTCCAGCTTCATTGAGGAAATGGAGGGACCTGCAGAAAGTCTGGCTCCTATTCACCTCTTCACTTCAAAATACCACCCTTAAAAGTAAGAACCCCGCCAAGTCTCACAAAGGGTTTGCTCCATTCAGAAAATATTCACACATGAAAACCAAGTAGTGGTTTTCCCTTTGAGAAAATTTATTAACCTCTCCAATTTTTGGATCCTTGGCATCCTATAGAATAAAGACTTCTAAGGCTTCTTCTAGTTTTAAAATGTCAGGACTCACTGGGTCTGTGGTCACTGAAGATCACTTTTGGTCCAGATCCCTGGCATTTGATGCCAGAGCAACTGTAGTACCACGCTACCTGCTCTCCCTGCCTTTGACCTTACAATGCCACAATTCATCATTATCCTAACACTGCTTAGCCCTTTAAGTGGTCCCCCACACAGCATTTCAATGACCCATGCTCCTATTTAGGAAAACCAGCTTATTTTGCCCAATTATCAAAAGAGAAAAGCTAATCAATACAGGATTCCAAAAGCGTGTGTATAATTAGCTTGATCAAATTTTAATTTTAGTCAAACCCAAAATTTGGCATCAGTAAACATTTCCCCAACTTTATAGGATTGTTTATAACATTCTTTTTATAAAGCATTCTGCTGCCTGCTCCAACAGGAATCTGCTGTATTTACCCAGGTGCAGGTAAAGTAACTTCACAGGACTCTGGGTTAATAGATGGTTAGATCTCCATCTCCTGAACTTTCAACCGATTTCATGCAATTCATGGAGCCACTCTGATATGTAACCATTGTACATCAGTGAGAATGCTGACCTTTTAGCCTCTCTCGAATTATTCGTGAAAGCATATGTATTAATTTTCTATCTCAAAATAGATTGAAAGCACTTTGTTACAGTTATTTTATACCAGTGTTGCAACCTTCCAGGGTCTACACTGGATGGATGCACAGTCTAATGTGACTTTTGTAAATTACACTGGAAATGCACCTGCGATTCTAATTTTCCATACAACACATTCTGTGGCAAGGAAGCTGACACTGAGTATTGCTCGCTGCAGATGGTTAAGCTGGGGACACGACCCGCTCCACGGAGGTCCACTCTGCCACATGCTTGCAAAAGGCACTCTGTGAAGGCTGGAACACGGAAGGTTACATCTGGGGCATTTCCTCTAGCAGAACTGCAGAGATCCAGGGTTCTCTCTTAGCCAGGCCAATCTGGTCTTCACAGTGCTTCTGGCATCAGGGGAAAAAATTAACCAACTGTTGAACAGAATTCAATAACCCAGAAGAGGAGACGATCAATACTCCCTTTCTGAGCTGCTCAGTGCTCACTTCTGAGAACTAGATGTGCTGTGGCCTGACTCCAGGAACAAAATTGTACATTCTTCTAAAAGAGTAGCCAGGCTGCTCAAGAGGAAAAAACTACTAGTTGTAAATCTTTTCTGGTTTTAGGCTTAATGTGCATTTTATTTGGCAGTAATGAGAGTGTGACTAAAACTCCAATCCTAAAATGTTAATTTGCTTCCTCCAAAATGCTCGTGTCAGTAGAGACCTTGACAATTTGCTTACACCACTCCTGCCTGGAGGGAGAACCCCCTACATGGGTATCAGCCTGTGCACATGTAAGTCCAGGATTTCTTAAATATGTGTAATTTCTAAGACACAATTGCTCTGAGAACTCTCAGAATGAATTCAATGAATAATGCATTTCACAAAGAGCATTCCAATATTTCACCTGTTTGCCTATTTGCTTTTATGGCTACAGTTTTCTCACATTTTCCCAAACACATGCTGTTTTTTATTAAATTTAATTGGCCATTGCTAGTTTTAGATTCTAAGACTGTAACTTCTGAAAGCAGGGGCTATAATTTTGATAGTGCATTTGTAGTACATAGCACATGCCATACAGTATGACATTTATGGGACACACGTGCACACATGTAACAGCATAAACTATTCCGATGTTTTCTTAATGAGTGGGCATTTCCTTCAACCTTACCACCCACAGAAGAAAATGCTGAGATATCTGTTCTGAATGAGGTTACCTGTGCACACGTTATTACTGTTCTCACTTTTAACAAGGCCTTTGTTGGTGTTCCTAACGATGTGGGGTGCATGCTTCCCTCTTAGCGTCTGAGCAAATTTATGGGTCCTTCAGCAAGAAAAGTGACTCAGCCACACACATAAAACAGTCTCAGATTCCATGGAGGCCGGTGGCTCCTGGGAGCCCAAGGCACCCGCTACAGTTTGGATTTCAGTGTCATTGAAAAGTGCATGTGTCGAAGGTTTCAGCCCCAGTGGACTCTAAGGGGTGGCTCTGTGGACTTCGAGGAGGTGAGTTCCCCTGGGAGATCGTGGAGTCACTGGGGAGCCCTGAAGGGCACTGTGAGGCCCTGGCCTGCCCTCTCTCTTGCCTGTTTCCTGGCTGAGGAGGTGAGTGCCTTTGCTCTGCCACGCTGCCTGCCACGGGTGCTGCCTCCGGAGAGGCCCAAAGCATGGGCCACTCAGTCATGAAGCAGCGACTCCAGAATCGTGAGCCAGAGTAAACTTTTCCTCTCCATAAGGTGAATCTCGGGTATTTGTTTTAGTGACAGAAAGCTGTCCAGCACAGAATCCTGTCAACAACGGGCTTAGAAGGTCCTACTTAGTGTCTGTTACTCTGTGTGTTCTTTCAGACAGTCACACGGCTCAAGCACCAAACTGAGCTCCTCTGCTCCCGCCTCCCACCGGCATGGGTTCAGAGAGCTTCTCAAAGCAGAGAGCGGCACTGAAGTGCGATGCAGACACAAGCCACTTGTGGGCCTTTCCCGAGAGCTGTTCACCAGCACACGGAGCCAGGAAGCGCTCACCTTCTGGTCCTGACTGTAGGCCAGAATCCAGTCTTCCTGTTTCGGGTGGAAGAGCAGGCTCTGAATGTAGAAGTTCAGCCGGTACTTCTGATAGGTGGCCCCTTCGTCGGAGCTGATCAATACGCTGCTCTCAATCTCTGGGTCTGTGAGCAGCATGATCTGCGGTAACAAACACGGGGGAAAGAAAACAACAGAAAGCTGAGCTTTGACAGAACTCGAAGATGAGCAGACATTTTGATGAGAGTTAAAGGGCAGGCCGGGAAGGCTCAGCCTAGCAAGGACTCACTGTCCTGTGTTGTCTCCTGTCTGAGACCAAAGTCGCCAAACCATTTTCACCAAGACATTAAAAGCAAAGGAGGATTTTCAAGGAATGAGTAGGAAGCACAGCACTGCTTTCTCTCCTCCTCTTTAGTTTCCTGCCCTGCATGTGTGCTTTTTCCAAATTATTTCCCTAATGTAGCACATTTCCTATTGTCCCTTACCCTGAGCCTCACGCACACTGTGCCTTGTCTATGCACTACTTGGGGACATGAAAGAGCAAGAACGTCACACCTGCTGAGGGAAGGGAGGACACAGAAGAGGATGGACCCCGTTTTGTTCCCTTTGTACCTCACACCCTGTGCTCCAGGACAGCAGTACTGTCTCATGTCCTCCCACCTTCAGCCTGACTTCATGAGTCTTGATCCACAGCCAGGACTCCTGAAACCTTCCCAAGGCAGGGTGCCACAGGCTTTATGCACATCTCACTGCCTTTATCGCCTCCTGAAGCACTGTCACTTTATTATTTATGCTGCTTCTTGTCGACATGGCCTCTACCAGAACCCGAGCTCCACGAGAATAGCAGGCAGCGTGCGTCTGCTTCTTCACACGTATTTTCCCAACAGCCACACTCAGGTCCAGCGTGCAGTACACAGCCACTAAATATCGCACAAATAAATGAATAATTGACTGAATGAATAAAAAGAGTTTTCAGAGTAGTCCTGTGGACTCAGGAAAAGCAATCTGTGAAGACAGGAATGGAAGTTCCACAGAAAGGGTTGCTGGACGTCCTTCAGTCCATATGAGTTATAAATATGTGAAAACTCTTAGGTTGCAGATGCTTTGCACTCTTCCATGGTGATGACCACTCCTGGCCAGAGCACTGTGAACAGAAGGGCTGCTGGCCTGAACACTGGACCTTGTTCTTTTATTTCATGCCTGCAGGAATGTGTGGTGCAGCACAGCACCTCATTCTCCATTCTCCCTGGGTCTCCCTTTGCTCTGTTCATGGGCACACTTAATATCTCCAGATAGTGGCCTTAATGCTATCCACTGACTTCTTCCCCATCAACTTATTAACTGCCACTCTCTGAGTTTGGCTCGGAGAAGCATGAATGATGTGTTTAATGTGTGGTTATATGAAGAGAAATTACTGCAGCCCAGAGTTTAAAGATTACCAGTAGAGGATGCAGCAGTTATAGGACAAAGAGAGAGAGGGGCTATGACACAGATGAGTGGAGCGCAGGCTGATACACGAGGGCTCCTAGGATTTGGAGGCAATCAACCGAGACTTCAGAATAGTCAGTGTCATCCTTGAAAGTGGGGGCCTGTCACCACGGGCGGTGTGAGTGCTGGCCACCAGGCACGCTCTGCCTGACACCTGATCATTTTATCCAGGACAAATTTAAGGTTCCCTGCAGTTCGTCCAACCTGTGCTTGAAGAAGACAAGGGGAAGCCATGGGATGAGAGGAACACGAGGGCTGGCAGGTGTACTTGGGACAGGACAGGAAGCACAGAGGGAACTGGAGACGAACCGTAGCGCATTCCAGTGAAGACACTGCCCACCACCCATGAATCCTCAGAGCTCTGCATCCCTCTGTCTCGCACCGACCCAGCAGAGAGCTTCCCGCACAGCATGAGTGACAAGGAGGTCATGTGCTCAGCACAAACTCACGCGCTTTCATTAAAATCTGGTGTATGTATTAAGCAAGGACGTCTAGACTACTAAATCCATGGAAGTATTTCCAGGTGGTTTCACATTTATGGCACATAAAAACTCATTTTTCAAACAACAAATAAGCCACTAAATGAGCATATTGCTTTGTGTTTCTAGCCACAGTTAACAATAATGTGTAACAACCTTTTGCAGTATTTCCAAATGTAATTTCCATGATAACAGGAAGAGGCTCGATTTTATGGGGTAACTACTGTCTCAGGCAAGGCAATGCTTTTCCCCTTCTGATTTTGTAGGTCTCTGTTAACCAGAATACTGCTTTCTTCTCTTCCCATGAGAATAAATTTCATACCTGCTTGTCCTGGCAGACTATATCATAAAAATAAAATTAAAAGTAGGTGTACAGAATGTCCCCAAATCAAATTCATTTATATTTATTTTTAAAAACATATTTATGACACTCCTTTATACTCTATGTCATCAGACTGTATAAGATATTTTGCATCCTGGTGACACTGAGTGAAAGTAGTTGAATAATGCAACTATTTTTGAAAATCCAGCTACTTAATATTATATAAAAAAAATGCTTTTAGGTGGCTTTGGAGGGATGAGAATAGGCAAAACAAAATTCTGCCTTTCCTATACAGCATTCATCTGAAACCCTCCATTTGAAAATCTGCCATTCTGGAAATGATGAAAAAGTGCAGGAAACTTCAGCGCCAGCGTGACAGGTATATCTGTACTGCAAACATTCCCGAGGTTCTTCTTGTAACATTCTGCTCAGATTTGCTCAAAACAAACGGGACAATACGGATTCATTTTTTTTCAGCCATTTTCCATTGGGCAAACAACTTTTCAAGACCTCTAGTAGAATTCAAAACAAAAGAAAAATTGATTCTTTCTAACTCTGTCAGGTTAAACATTTAGCAAGATCTAAATAGAAAGGGCTTGGCCTACGTGGGGAAAATAACAAATGTATTTCTGTCTTTAGATACATGTAGTGTATTTTTGTAAATGAATAAGTCAAATCTTCTCAAGGTGTTCTACAGGGTTATGTTTTCAAAATGGTAAATGCAAGGTAGTAACCACTCTTCAAAGATGACAGATAACATCTTTTAAACAATGGCCAGTCCTCAGTGTTTCTGCCAGATTAGGGTGGCTCTCTACCCGCTGTGCCTCTTGCTATGCCTTCACCTAAGTGATGTTTTGCTGCATTTTTTCCTCTATTCTGCAGCATGATCTAAGTGTGAGTTTGAAAGGACTCTGGAAAAGGCACCAACCCAAGCCCTGCACATTTCCTACGGTAAACTGTCTCAAAGCAGAGGTCCCTGCCCGGAACAAAACCTTGTTCCTTAGCAGGCCCACATATCTTTGTCAGTGAATACATGAATAAAAGAAAGAGAAAACCCTTTCATTCCCACTTCGTTCTGAACGCAGCCAGGGACCCTGCAACACTGAGAGTCCAAGTCCTCTTGGATAAATTCGTACTGTTCTACTTGGAAATGGGGAGAGTAAAGCCAAGAGGGGGACATGACATTTAAGAGCAGCAATTAGCTCTGCTCAGACCAGCCCAGAGGTGCTGAGAACCGCTCTTTCTGTGCCTTGGAGGTACTGGACAATGGTGGTAGTTGTGAACCCAGACAATCAAAACATTGTCGTACAGGGCCAGGGATTTAGCTCAGTGGTTCTGGCGCCTGTCTTGCAAGCACAAGGTCTTGAGTTCAATCCCCAGTACCAAAAAAAGTTGTCATACAACGGAGAACAACTGATTACAACAGGTATAATATCCTGAACAAAGCAGTGCATTAGCAGTATCAGTAGCGTCTAACACAGCCTAGCAACTGACAAACTGTGGTCCCTATTAGTTTGGAACATTTAACCATATTAGCAAGCTCTAGCGTGGTAAAACAAAATCCAACATAAACTAGGAGCTTGTATGTAGTGAGGTACCCTTTGGCAGAGTGATTTTATCCTGGAGGAGGGAAATTTAAGAGGTATAGGAGACAAAACAGAGAAATAAGTGAGGAGAAATATAGTAGAGGCAAGGCTGGAGGGCAAAGGATGATTACCCCGGCTTTGGGAAACTGGAGGAGAGGGCAGGAGATAAAGCACAAGGGAGGAAGCAAAGGAATACTGAAGCAAGCCAGGAAGATAGGAGACACTGTTCACTCCCATGAAAATATCATAAAGTCAAGAGAAGCGGAAAAATGGAAACAAAGCTTTTGAAAACAAGGAGGGGAGGGGACTGGGAGAAAAAGAGGACTTAAGAAACACCATGTACAGGTACAAATTTCCTTAGATGGATGTGATCTTTATTTCTATTTAAATTGTACCCATAAAATTAATTTAAAAAAATACGATTCTGCAGTGAATATTCCTGCCTGTGACCTGGAGGGCAGCAGATGCGAGCTGACAGCGTCCTCAGTGAGCTGTTTTCTATAATCAATAGGGGGGCCCAGCACCTGCCCTCACCACCATGCAGGTACTTCGCTCCACTGCGGGAGACGGGACAACTTGATCTGCTTTTCTTGAAGTGATAAATGAACATGAAATGCAATTTATAGATTTTAGATAAGTCACTTCTCTCTTTTTTTGGTACTACTCCTTCTGACAGTTCAGTGTCATCAGAAATTAAATATGGCTTCACTCCCTTTAACTTGGTCCAGATTCAGCAGACAGCTACATGACGCAATTGTACAAATGTTGCCAGACAGCTTCCTGACCCTCCCAGGTGTCTGCTGCGGAACTTCTCTTGAAAGAAATGCTCCCCTGATTTTGTTTTGCAGATTCTTTTCCTAGGTATGTTGTTCTTGGAACTGCTCCATGGACCTGCTTAGATGGGGCAGAGTTAGTAAGGGGCACTTAGCCATCTTTGTGCGTATACTTTTCCCCACAATATCTTTGGTCCTCAGGCAAAAAATATTTATTTTATGTTTTATTCAATATTTGTTAGCTAATTTGTCTGTTCGTTGTCATTCCCATACTGGGATCAAGCAGAGGCAATGTAGGGCTGCTGCAGATATCTCTCTCGTTTTCCTCAAGGATTAATTCAGGTCCCTTTGTCCAAATCACAGGTGCATAATACATGCTTTTCATAATGACCATGATAATGACAAAGAATAACTCCAAAAGCAGCATTTGAACATTCTAGCTATCTACCTACTTTATTCAAACCAATATATTTCTCTCTATAAACAAACTAAGAGGCTATTTGTAAACTTCTGG